TAGACTCACACCAAGCAAAGTACACCTTCCACATCTGATGATGGACCTTGTGGAAAAAGTACCTAGCCTTGAACATCAAAGGAATCCTAGACTCAGTGGTGCCCCATACCTTGGAACCTGGGATTTTACAGCCATGCCATTAAAGCCAGCAACCAAGAAGCAGGATGGAAAATGGATCGCTGGGATAGAAGATCTGAACATCAGGTAGAGCTCACAGAACATGTGCAAAAAGTCTTAACAGGTCAGAGTACCACATCAACTTGGGCCAATCCAAAGCAAGGATCTCCAGAATGACCTTCAATTTGTTTCTGCGTTGCAGAGGAGGAAGAGGTTTCAGGGGGCAAAGAGGCTTAGATCAGGAGGGACTGATCCCATGGAGCCACTAGAGCAGCCACTGTGTCCACCAGCAGATCTCTGAGCCTGGACACAAACCCGTCTAGTTTTGTTGTTTAATCTCTAGGCTAAGAGGCCCACATCCGGTATCTCCCACCTGCAACACAGGCCCTAAAACACCAATGGGTGCAGAGACCATTCTTCCGGCTGCAGACGCTGCTGGCTGACAAAACTGGCCTGGCAGTTGTCTTCATCGGGAATGTACATGGATGACAGGGCCATAAAACAGGACAGGATCCGCTCTCTCGCTTTGACTGCAGCAAGACCTCTAGTTCCTTCCTAATGATTGGTGTATGTCACCACCATGGCATTTTCTGACTGGACCCAGATTGGCTAGCCCTCCAAGTTTGTCCAACACTAAAAGGGACCACCAAATGCCCCAGAAGTTTCAAGATGTTGATTGAGAGATGGAGATTCCTCAGACAACTAAGTACCCAGTACCAACAAGTTGCCCAGGACTCCCTCCAACCCAACAGGCTAGTACCTTCTCCAGATCTTCCAGAAAGATACTTCACTGACTTCAACACCAAATCTTGTAGCCACCAAGACAGGGACATCCTGGTACTTGGCATTAACCAAATCTGTTTGTCAAGAGACAGGACTGATTTGTTCCATCATGACTCCATCAAAAAGTTGGCTACCCTCAACCCCAAGACCCTTAAGCAGAAGAGAGTTGGATGACTTGTGGATAAGGAACACGAACGTTAAGAGTGGAAAGTCTGAAGTCTATCCTGTAGGAGGAACAATCTGGCCTGGGAAGTGTCCAGGAACAGCCCCAGATACTTCATGTTTATAAGTTGGAACAAGCGACAGTTTCTAAAAGTTCGAAATCCCCCCGAAACTCTGTAATGTCTGGACTATCAAAGACACCTTGTCCTCCAGAGCTCTCCCCCGTTTTACTAAACCACGGAAATACTGTGAGAGCGCAACAGGGCAAGCTCCTTGGTGAACACCCGAAGTGCTGAAGACAGGCCATATGGAAGGGCCATGAACTGGTAGTGCAGAGGACATACAGCAAAACACAGGAAGTCTTGGCAAGCTAGAAAGATGGGCATCATGCAGAATTTTTGGACATGAATGTAAACATTCTGGTCCTTAAAGGTCCAAGATGAAGCGAGTGTCCCCTTCAAATTTTGGGACAGTGACCAAGTTGGAGCAAAAAAGCTGAAACCATCCTGCAGCAGAGACAGAGCTCTGACCCTTTGGTCCAGCAGTCCTAAGCCCTCGTTCACACCTGAAAGTTTTGTAGCGCGTTCAACGCTCGACGATCGCTCTACAAAACGCTCAAACATCTAAATCCCATTGTATGCAATGGTCTGGTTCCCACCTCGGCGCCCGCCCGGCCCTAACGTGCTACAAAACGGCCCGCGCCTGGAAAGGTCCCGGTACTACTTTGGGCCGTTTTGTTGCGCGTTTCCATTGGGATACAGCCAAGTAGCCCTCGGAAACGCGCGACGGTCGCACGACTTTACCACGAATCGCGGTAAAAAAACGCGCGACAGACGCGCATATGCAATACGCCTAGGTGTGAACGAGACCTTAGAGTGCCCAATGGAGATCACCAAATCTTGGGGAATTTAAGGCCTCCGGGTGGCTGCAAAGGTCAACAGACATCCCTCCACACTGAAGTGGGGGTGCACCTTCATGCTGAAGAGGGCTCGTCAGGGCACTGCTTCTAACAGGCCATCACAACTAAAGTTTAATGCCACAGACATCTGTACCATGAGGTCAAAGATTTGAGGTCAAAGGCAGCCGTGGTTAGACCAATCTGATATAGTTTGGCACAAGTAAAATTACAAAAACTTAAGCGAATCAGAATGAGACAACTGATGGTTTAAAACCTGTTAAGTCCTCAAGTGAATCTGAAATCCAATCTACTGGAGAAAACTGGGAAACTTGCATCATAAGCTAAAAGACATCAACTGAGAGGGCAGAGGGTCCAGCCACACTTAAATGAGCCAAGGAGGGCTCTAAATTATGGAAGAAACCCTTGTACTAGAGGGAAGAAGGATTCTAGACTACAGACTTGCCACCATCAGGGAACACGCAGCAAGCAGTCCCCAACCTATTACTGAAGTATGTGTGCTGAGGCA